CATGGAGATGACGGCCCTCTGGACAGGGAAAAAAACCCGCAGCTCTTCCTCATTGGTCTCGCAAAACAGCACAACGGTTTTATTACAAAAGGTAAGCATCTCCCACATCGCACACCATCTTGTCCCCAGGCACAACCTCGCGCCCCACATCTGCACTTCCCCGAGCACCGACCCCTCTCTTCCAGACCCGGAGCCCCAGCCCACGCTGCGTCTCTGGTGCTGGGGGACCGACGGCAGAGCCGCGAGTGAGCAGAGCAAAAGTCCCCTGGTCGGGAGCCGGAGCGCGACCAGCTCTTGCGTGATCCAGGCACTGAGCGGAGGATCTGCCCAGGTGCTGTTCATGGATTACGAGCATGCTCTAACCATCGGGCCTGAGGTTGCACCCTGCGGCTCGTGTCCAAGCCATCAGAGCATCTCTGGACGTAGCGGGCACCGCCTCCCCTGGAAAACTGTGGTTACCTTCCCCTGGATGACTCGCTCCTGTGATTACTTTGCGACCCCTTACTTGCAGCTGGAATCCCTCCAGCATCATCACCCAACCTCTGGATCTGTCTAAGGGTGGCTGTTTCCACTCATGGGCACTTGGGAGTCCCTGCTTCACTTCCCTTTGAGGAGCTTGGTGGGGCAAGTTCTTCCAGTCCCTTGCCGTGGGGAAGGCTCCCCTGCCCTCAGGCTGGCCAGGCTGTCAGAGACACCGATGCCCGGTGCACGTGGAGCAGGGCACGGCTGCGGGGCTGGAGAGAGGATGAGATTGGTGAGGATGTTACAGTCCCCCGTCTCATAGGGCTCCTCGCACGGCCAAGGGGGCTACAGGGTCCTCTGTCCCCGCAACACGGCACGGAGAATCCCAAGTCTCCGTCTCCGCCGGCACGGGGGTACGTAGGGCTACAGCGTCTGCACCTCTGCAGCCGGGCACCCAGCGGGCCGGGTCCTCGCCAGCCTGGAGCCCCTGGCCGCCAGCGTGGACACGCTGGTGCACCACCATGTTGGAGCGACGATGGAAGCCGCGGCCACACTGCGGGCACCGGAAGGGACGCTCGGCTGTGTGGGTGCGCTGGTGGCGGATGAGGTTGGAGCTGCGGTGGAAGCACTTGCCGCACTGGGCGCAGACGTAGGGCTGCTCGCCGGTGTGCGTGCGGCGGTGCACGGTGAGCGCCGAGCTCTGGGCGAAGGCCTTGGGGCAGTCGGGGCAGCGGTAGGGCCGCTCGCCCGTGTGGCTGCGCCGGTGAGTGGCCAGGTGGGAGCTCTGGGCGAAGGCCTTGGGGCAGTCGGGGCAGCGGTAGGGCCGCTCGCCCGTGTGGCTGCGCCGGTGAGTGGCCAGGTGGGAGCTCTGGGCGAAGGCCTTGGGGCAGTCGGGGCAGCGGTAGGGCCGCTCGCCCGTGTGGCTGCGCCGGTGAGTGGCCAGGTGGGAGCTCTGGGCGAAGGCCTTGGGGCAGTCGGGGCAGCGGTAGGGCCGCTCGCCGGGGGGGGTGCGGGGCCGCCGCACC